CTTCACCACTTTGGCTCAGAAATTTCCTAAATAAGTGTATAAATAAAATATTCACTTAAATTTAATTTCCATAAGAAATAATAACTCTGCAAAATCATTTGAGAAAGCCACTGACATCTCAACTAGCAAAACAAACATGAAACAGAATTTATTATATACTGACCGTTATTTCTTTCACATTTTTCTTCTTTTGCCAACACATCTCTTTGCTCTACTTGATAATGTTTTCACTTCTGCTGTCCCATATAATCTTTTCTCTTTACTTGGGTTATGCGTTTGCCACCTTTTATGACACAATATTAGTGCTGAGCAGTAAAGTGAATGTTATTACTTCAAAGAAGCATTACTTGCTGACAAGAATTAATTAGAATTCTAAATTGTTACCGAAGTCTTCTATTCTACAGTGAGAGCTTTAGTGAAATGATGGAAATGGATAATTAGCACTGCTATTCTGTCTGTTCAGTTTGGATAGTCCATAAAAGATCTGATGCTTCCTTTTCCTGAAATAAACAAAACCAGCTTCTGAACTGTCAGAAAAACAACAGCAGTTCTTGAAGGCTAATCATTAGCAGCTTTTGTCATGGACATATAATTATTTCACAAATTCTGCTTCAATCAGGGAAAAATATGCTTAAGTGCCAATAAAGTTTTAAACCTACTATAATTTTTCTCCCACTGGAAGGGGAAAACACATTGCTCCACTGGGGTGGGGAGAACACTTTTTAAAATACATTTTCTACGTAGTATGCATTAGAGAGCTTTCTCTAATCTGATTCCTTCCATATGGATTGAACAATCTAACAAGTATGCTGGCTGGGGATTTTGGCAATTGCATCAGCATATGCCAGGTTTTTCAGCAATGGAAGCACGTTAAATGGCCTAATGGATTTGGTCAAATAGATTCTAGATTTGTTAAATCTAGCTCCTCTGACACAATTATGATCCTCAACAAGGGTCATGTTAATTTTGTTCTTGGCAAAACAGCACAGCTGAAACAGAAAATCTGCCAAGAATTCTTCAGCTCCACACATGAATTTTGATTTGCCTTGCATGAAAGATCTTTTGGTAACTTTTGTGCTTGTGTAACACATATGTGTTTAAATCCATGAAAATGATGAATATGATAGTGGCTTTCTATCAAAGAAGGAACCAGGATAAAACACATTTTAAATATTTTTTTTTCTGCTAAATTACATATTCTTAATTTATGTGATATATTTCATAAAGCTGTGTAGTTCTTCTGCTTGTGCCTCCTGTCTCCCACATTTTGTATCTGCGATAGCTACCATTGTTCCCATGAGATCAAAATGGCTAGCAATATCTTGTTCAATCCCTTTATCCAAAATGAAAGGGAAAAGGATCTTTCTGACACTAGAAACAAAAAAATGGACATATTACATCACACCAAATCTAGTGAGGAATGCTGAGCCCTAGATCAAGTTTTTAATCTGGATGACTCTACTGCGGTGACGGCTAAGCTTTTTGGCACCAAGTGCCAAAATGGGAATCTGTGTGATCCTTTTCAGCACTGAGTGCCAAAGTGCACATGCACACAAAGCATATGTGCATGCCATAAACTGGAAAAGCAGATGATCTTCTGGTTTCCGGTGTGCATGTGTTCTGGCGTGCATGCCACCTGCCCTCTGGTGTTCATTGCAAAGGCTCCACCTGACTTTCTGGGGGTCCTTGTGCCTTCCCGGATACCCTTGTCTACACACATAGATCGACACTCAAAATATGAGGAAATGTTAAGACTATGAGAACCATTGTGCACTGGAATAGCTGGCTTCCTACTGTTATAGGTGCTCCATCATTGGATGTTTTCAAACAAAGATTAGACAGCGGTTTGCTGTGGAAGGGAATTGGACTATAAGATTTCTTCTATCCTATTATTTTATGAATCTCTTTACATAATGTCTTCCCAACATTCAATTGGATGGGAAAAAATAAATTGGCAGGGATAGCAAGCACAGCATGTGTTTTGGGTATTTTTCTACCCCTTTTACCAGCAGTAGACATGAATATTTCACTCTCTCCTTGTGTTGCCTATGCGTGTACAGAGACACAACATTTAGTGCATATGCTCTTTTGCTGCCTACCAAACACCTCCATCAAATTTGGTCTTGTTTTTTCATTTTTTTGGGGAAATTTAGCCAGCTCATAAAGAGAATCTGAAGATTTTTTCCAAACTTTATTTCCAACATTCAATTGGATTGGGATGGTTAAGAATTATGCTACTTGGATAGTCAGTAAAAATATGCAGAACAGCATAAGAACTTGTGGGACCTGTGTGTGAAATGGGTCAATCTGTCAAAAGCTGTGCTGTCCTGTTGTGATGCAAGCCTAGCCCTCTTTGTACATATCATTACTTGGTGTAATTGTTCAAAAGGTGAGAAAAGATATATTAGTGCAGTGTTGCTTTCATCACCTTCTCAAAAGTAGCAGCAGCTGTAAATCCCCATGATACGCAATGTGTAACCTAAAAAGTTCCCAGCTGATGGTTTAAATGGATAATCTGTTTTAGAACTGAGATACTGTAGGATTGGACTGTTTTCTATCAAAGCTCCTGATTCATTTAAAAGTACTTCAGGTTCTATGAAAACCAGTATCAACTCAGTGGATTTCCTGGGGGGGGGGGTATACAGAAATACTTCAAAGTATTTGAATAAAGTCATATTCTACTATAATCCCTGAATCCATTCTCTGATATTATTCTCTTTTTCCTTTATGGTTTTTGCTGTGATGTTTTTGTTTTTCTGTTTCACTTGAAGAGAGACTTGTGGGTTGGAGTCAATTGTCTAGTACTCCTTCATTTGGTAACAGTATTTGCTCAATGGCACAAATGTGCCACATATGTATATATAATAGAAACTAACATTTTAGAATAACAGACTATACCTGTGATTACATGACAAATGTTAACTTTTCTCGTTTTAGTCACTGTAACCAAGGTTGACTTGTCAATTTGAAAATGTGTGGACTTCAACTTCCAGAGTTCCTCATCAGCAACATCTTCAAGTTGGCCAGGTTGAGATACGCAGGCAAACTTTGGCCATAGCTGGAGTTCGATCCTGACGGGCTCAAGGTTGATTCAGCTTTTCATCCTTCCGAGGTTGGTAAAATGAGGACCCAGATTGTTGGGGGCAATAGTGCTGATATTCTAAACTGCTCAGAGAGTGTTGTAAAGCATTGTGGAGTGGTAAATAAGTCTATTGCTATTTTATTCTCTGTCAATTTTCAATGACATTTTGGATGCAAGTATATTGTGGTTGTTCAAAAATAGCATTGGGTGGCTCTGGACTTAGTGATTCATAGTGACACAAATGTGGGAACAATTATGATATTTTGAAATACTAATATATATGAACTTTATTTTCACAGCTTTTGTAAGATATAGAATCTATGTTATACACATGGCTGTTTATGCTATGCATGTGAACATTACACATACTGAGCCAACAAAGGAAACTACAAACATTAACAATTTGTTTGCTTTTGATGTTAGATTTATCAAACATGAAATTAAATTTCAGATACAGTGAACATTTTTGTATGTGCAAGGGTAAAACTCTTTAAAAAATTTAAATCCATTGATAATTCATAAATACTTTCAACATACTTCTAACATGAGTGTTTGCAAATATATACTATTGTGGAATCACTAATAAAATATCATAAAAAATACATTTCTTTTTGCATGTTTTCTGTACCACCAACTGATTGCTACCTTTTTGCAAGTTAATCCATTCTGTATATTTTATACTAAATTTTGAAGAAAGCGCTTTACATCCATGATGGGAAGAATGAGTAGAATAAAGTACTGTTATTAATAAATAGAAATAAATATGATTTCATTTACAAATTCAGCAAGCCAACATTTAAAAATGATTCTGCCAGCAGAAAAAAAGTGTTTTAATAGATGTGGCAATAATTGCAAATAAAAAGTATTCCTGTGTTAGTTGATGTATAGGTTTCCCTTTTAAACAGAGAGCAATGTGATCTGTTTTGAAGATGATAGATAGTATGAAATGAAGATGACAATAAAAGTAAATGCATAATTTTATATTGGTTCTTTAAGAAACAAATGCAGATTAATTATAAAGGACAAAACTTCACTTACATTTGAAGTTGGGTACCTCTTGCCATGTGATCGAAGACTTTAATAAAATTTTGTGTCAGTTTATGAAAATAGTTCTATTTTCATCGATGCATGCATGCATCCTATTTTTCTTCAGACTTTCCAGCAGAACATCTGGACATACTATTCTACCTTGTTCTCGTGTAATTTGAGTCCTTCGTTTTTGGAGAGTCTTTATGCAAGAGAATGCTTTTGACAACACAATTCTCCTTTTCTACTTATCCCTTAATGACTTATGGCAGTGTAATGCATCTTTTTATGAAATATGTTGCTAAACTACACTCTTAACAGCTCCAGTCAACATCACCAATAGTGAAGAGTTAGTAACGTAACAGGTGAAGGAACACAATGTTTTAATTAAAGGTCTTAAGGTAATGTTTTAATTAAACGTCTTGCACCCACAGAAATGTTAATAAAGGATCCTTCTACTACAGGGCTGTCAAACTCCCATCCCATGGGCTGGATGTGTCACACGCTGGCCACAATTTAGCGAAGGGGAAAAAAGTCCCACTACATCACATGACGCCAGCGTGACGACGTGAGTTTGACACCCCTGTTCTACTATCTTCAAAGCAGATGTTACCAGAATATATATTTTTCATAAAGGAAAGTTGTAATATACTATTAAAGCAATGTTAAACAATTAATCCATATCCTTTGACTGTTTGATAATGCAGGACAGGCCACCTGAAGACTAAGATAGCAAGTTTTACATAGCCTTTGAAACATCGATCCTATGTTCTGTTAAAAAGACAGAGATAAGTCCAGCAGTGGCTATGACTATTAATCTCTTGTCTTCTTTGCTTGCAGTTATTTGACCATTATCTGATACTGAATTTAAATACTGGATATAAATCCTCACTATGATCAAGAGTATTTTTAATTCATGTAAAATTATAGCTGCATGATTTTTTTGCACAAAATAAGTTTTACAGATTTAAAAGTATCCGAAATATATACACAGAGATATAGTGATTAGGAACTCTGGGATTGATAATAGATGCTAAAAGAATATAGACAGCACATGTTCTTAGTTTGCAATTAGAAAATAAATCCATCTGATTTTAATACTTACTGATCCTAACAGAGGTTCTATACTTTATAATACCTCTTTCTTTTTATTGCTGACATAGCCCTAGACCAGGCCTATTATACTGGTGGCCCCTTGGGCCAGATACATCATGCATAGGCCATGCCCACCCGAGCTCTGCAAAGGCAAAAGAAGTCATGATACGTCATGATCCAGCCTGTGACACAATCAAGTTTGACACCCAGGCTCTGAGTACTTTTTGGTTCATTTTTGTATACTTTAATGGCACTGTCTTGTTCATATATTATAGAATATTAATATAGCATGTCTATTTATTGGTGCACATGTGTGTGTCTATGTCGATAGGGATGGTGGATGACTGCCTATTTGGCATCACACCATATTTGGGTGGGTTTACTGTAGTGGTTGTCAAACTTGGCAATTTTAAGATATATAGAGTTCAACCTCCCAGAATTTCCAAATGCACATTCCCTACATGCAAATTTGAGTATCTGTGAGAAATTTTCTGTGTATCAAGTTGCCCTGGGACGTCCCTCTTCCTTGAATCTAAGTATCTAGAACTGAATCTGGTGCAAAATGTGATGGTCTCGGTAGTTATATGAACTGCAAGACTGGTGCATGTTGAACCTCTGCTCTGCAAGTTGAATCGGTTGCCAGTTTGCTTCTGAATGCAGTATAGGTCAAGGTTCAGGTTATGACCTATAAAATGTCTTCCAGATACATTGCACTGAGCTGACAGTACAGTAGTCATTATAGTTGTAACCTGGATCATCTAGAATGTACCAGTTTAGGAAAGGCTGTATTATCAAAACTTTTCTAAATCAACACCCAATTTGAAAGGAACTGTACTATATAAACAATAGTAGTGAAGTACTTCTGAAAGGCAGTTAAAATTGTGTGAAAGTAAACAGACATTTTCCACAGATATATTTTGCCAAGAGTTTTTGTTCAATTACATTTAGAAACAGTGCTATATTTGGAACGTGGTACATTTAGTTATATATGTAGCAAGTGTTACTTGAACACGATTTTTTTTTGTCTAAATGTGGATTCATTCTACATTGCATTACACTTTTACTCTTATTTCAAAACTTTTTGGTATTACTGATATACATGAGTTCAGTTCTGGCACTTCTCAGGCTCTGTAGAAGATGGGTGTATGCAATGAAATGTAGCACAAGGAGGATTAGATTATAATTACATAGGGAGTTCTTTCACTTTCTTGAAATACTCATTTCCTTTCCTTTCCTTTCCTTATTCTGAAATAAGTCTTCTATATAACACCGATGTATAAGGTAATGAAAGATAATTTCAGAGATTCTTCTACATGTTTGGATTAAATGTTCTACCACACATTATTTCCCACCAAGCTCTGACACGGTAAGGCATGGTGCCTGCATTCTTTGTCCAACGTGACATGAAGCTACTACCCAGTTTTCACAAGGATAAAGTATTTCAGATGGCCCAACACTGCAGAAGAGGAACATTGTTCCTTTGAGCAACTAACAGCAAAAAATGTGCTGCTATACTATCACTCAGCAACTAGAGATCCTTTTTTTCTGCTAGTGCGGATTAAGTCTTCTGAGGGTCGGTAGGAAAGCGAAGTCATCTTTGTTGACAAACTGGAATGCCTGACATTTGGAGGGATGTATTTGAGTAGCTGAAGGAAGTATTTTCTAAAGTTCTTTCCCCAAAAGCCATAAAAGACAGGATTCAGGCAATTGTTAAAATAAGCTAAGCAGATTGTGAAGGGCATAGCTGTGTCCACAATATCTTCAATATCACAGCTCTTAATCACATCAAGCTGAATCAGCACATCTATAAAAGTAAATATTTGATGAGGAATCCAAGAAAAAAAGAAAAAAAGAACTATTGCAACAATCAACTTAAATATGTCATCACCTCTGCCGTTATTCTTCTGAAACTCATAAGCCTTTTTCAGAGTTTTCCAGATTAATATGTAGCTTATTAAAATGACCACAAAAGGAATGAAGAAGCCCAGAATATTTTTCGATAGGCCTAATCCAATGTTGATGGTTATGGGGCTGGTTGAATTCCTGCGTGTGCCATACCAAAAAGCACATACTGTGATGTTTTCATTTTCAAGGTCATATGCACGGCGGTGAATTCCAACAGGTAAGCTGGCAATGACTGCCAACAGCCAGATGATGATGCAAGTTACCCGGGCAACGAGCATTGTGCGTCGAAGGCGGGCCTTCATGGGATGCACTATTGTTAAGTAACGATCTACGCTGAGGCACGTCAAGAGAAAGACGCTGGCATACATATTGAAGGTTGCTGCAACTGAAGCGATCTTACACAAGCAGTTTCCAAAAGGCCAATGATACTTCATGGCTGTTGTAGCTGCCCATAATGGTAGAGTTACTAGGAAACACAGATCTGCCAGGGCTAAATTAAGCAGAAATACGCTAGCCACAGTTTTCATCTTCATGTAGAAGTAGATGATAATCACAACCAGGCTGTTTCCAAATATACCAATGACAAAGATGATACTGTAAACAGTTGGAACCATGATAAAAATGTAGCTGTTTCTTCCCAAAGAGGGACAGTCGATGGGGTGCTTTTTATCGGCCTCTTCTGCAGAGGTATTTAGCATCATTGTGATCAGTTCTGTTAGAGGCTGTGTAGGAAACTGATACCAACAGCACCTGAGAAAGGAAAATTAAAAGGTTATTATTCTTGTTTTCTAGTTCAATGTATTAAAAGCACTCACTTGACAGCTCCTTAACACCATTTTATTAGATCTTTAAACTGCTATAACATATCAGGTCTCTTTGATGGTTAGATACTTTGTCCAGTAGTTTTGGTATATAAACTGTCATTGGACAAAGACCATATTAAACCAGCTGTCTGAGTATGCTCAGCGATATCCCTGAAGCAACACTTTTGCTTAATATTACATTGCATTTTATGGTTTCTTCCCATTTATCTATTTGTTGGTATATCAGATTAATGAGTATATAGGGTTTTAACCTTAGATTGAACTCTGTGGCCTAAGTAATAGTGAATATTTTTTTGAATTATAGCCAGTGTTTTTTTTTTAAAGCTTCACACTAGAACAAAAAGTGACCTTGTAGTCTGGACATATTGCAGCACTGCAAATAAATGAGAAGTTGTCCAGTGTTCTGTTATCAATAAAAAAATTAAATATAGCACAGCTGCTAGATTCCAAATACCTTAGAGTTCTATATCTGTTACATTAAGACTAGATTTAGTAAGCATCCGAGTAAGTTTCTCTGGTTGGTCTTGGAATACTAACACAAAGAACACAATTAAATGTGCATTTTAATGGCTCTCTAAAGGCATTGTCTGAGATCACAGAGATTGAGCAGACATTTAAGATAATTCTTTCCTGCTTGTGTCCACACACCATTCTTATCCAGGACCTAATGACTATGTTTGTATAAAATGATTAGTGTTAAACTTGGTTGGGATTTTTATGGCTTAGCCACTTTTGCAAACACAGATTGACTAGTGATACTAGTCAATACTGTATGAATTCAAAAATGTTTAAGTCAGAGACAAGATTAAATATGTTGGGTGTGAGACCACACAGCCACTCTGCACATATTCTGCAGTTACACTATCTTGCATACCAGTAATTAGCGATTTGATTGATTTTAATCAAAAATCTTTAACTGGATTTCTAGGGGGGAAAAAAATCAAGGTTGGCAGTTTTACACTGCCATTAGCAGAGGGAAGCAGCCATCTGGTCCCAACTGTCAGCTGGTCTACTAAGTGACAAAATAGGGACATTGTGAGTGGATACAAGGAACTTATTTTCTTCTCTTTATATGAAGGAAAAGAAGTGGGGGGACGATTTCTTAATTCACAAAGCACTGGAAGCTGTGGACGGGAAGGTGTTCTTTATGGTCAGCTTTTGGCTACATTAAAAATGAACAATATTTAGTTCTGACTCTGTAAGCTTCAGATTAACAATACCAAGTGGTAATACTTTGAAACCTGTAGAGAAACTATAGGTTGGTTTTAGAGTGTATTTATGAATTATTTGTAAGTGGAGGACTAATCCTGTGGCTGATTTCTAATGTTGAGTTGATTGAATGGGTAGTGGTGAAAAGGATATGATTTTTGTGGGTTTTGTAGTCAGCTGTGTAAGAGAGTTTAACAAATATTTGCAGTGAATGAAGATTGTTTATAAATTTTATCACAAAACTGATTTCTTTTTAAGTGAACTTTGCTTCTTTGTCCTTTTTCTAGTACTCTGAAAACAGCCAATCACTACATGAAGCAGAAGAAATAAATAAAATCCATTTAATAAAATGTAATCCTTTGAATGTAGCATGCCATAAGCTAGCCTCCCCCAATATATTGCTCTCTGTTATTCTGGACTGCAACTTTTAAGAATTATCAACACCACATAGGAGGAAAATTCACATGAAGAATTCATTCAAACAGAAACAGATTCACAAAAATTATTTAAAGTTAATGAATTCATTAACTTTATTAGGAAACGAGTTGAAAGCATGCATATGTTTGTTCTTTATTTTAAAACTACTTACATAGAGAACATGGGAACTATTTTTTTTTTCATTTTACATTTTCCAGGTTCTTTTCTTAGGGAGCTCTAAAGTGCCTGACCCTTCAACTCAACATGATGTTCTTCAAAATATTTTTCACTACAACTCCCAACACTTGTAGAATACCACTCCTATGACAGTCAGTTGATTCACAATATGTGCAAAACATCAAGCTGCTCTCAGTAATTTATACTGATTGCTACTGTTTGTTGTTTAAGAATTTTCATTTGACATCATGGACTCCTAAAAAGTAACACCTGTATAATTTTCTCATGATAAGGTAACAGTGAGATATATTCATAACCTTATCTTACCTTAACCTTGGCAGTTGTTCATTTGACATTTTTCATATCTTTCAGATACAACCGCCCAATACCTAAGCTGCATGCAGGAACCATTGCTAAATCCAAATTGGATTTTTGTAACAATAGGGAACTTCTAATATTTTGAAAGAAATGTGTTGCTCTAAAATTCACAGCAATAGCACTACTATAGGAAATAGAAAAACAAGTACTGTACAAAGAATAAGAATTAATCAATATACAATCTCGCTAAACTGGAAAATCAAGATATCAGCTAAAGGAGATAGGATGGCACATGACAGCTCTGAAAATACTTTTGTTTCACACTAAATTATTCCTTTTCCTTGCTAAAAATAATTAAAATTACAGCGTTTCCATCTTAAAAACAGAAATATCTACTTAAGATCCATTTAACTTGCCTAGTACCAATCAGGAAAAAATATTTAAAAAACCCTAAATAATGTATGAAATATGTTTAAAAGTAAAGAATTTCACATTATTATAAATGATTCTTTGCTCTATTTAGAATGTCACTTGTGGTGGCAAATTATTTAACAGCATTGATTTTAGCTAATCAAAATACAATTGGGATTAAACCTGGCTCAAGTAAAGCAATCAGTTGAGGTTCTATTTTCATTAGAACATGCATTGTGAAAATGTGTTACCTTCTTCTGATTTTTACTTGCTATAAAATGCAAATAATACATTGTGGCCTTGACCTTTTTCTTTTAACCCATATATAATACTTTAAAAATCCATCTGTTTGGTAAATCACAATGTGATTAATTATTATCAGGAATTCAACGTGAAATACCTTGCAAAGATGAATATTTAATTAACCTAAAGAAATTAAGAAAGGACACTTAGTTTATTTGTGCCTTCTTTGATCAGAGTTCATATTATGCTGTCATTTTGCTGATTGCCTGTAACAAGCAGATTTCATTTAAAAAAAAGATACAGGAATTATTCAAATCCTCCTTCCTTCTTTCCTTCCTTCCTTCCTTCCTTCCTTCCTTCCTTCCTTCCTTCCTTCCTTCCTTCCTTCCTTCCTTCCTTCCCTCCCTCCCCCCCTCCTTCCTTCTTTCCTTCCTCCATTCCTCCCTTGAAATAAAACACTACATTAGAAATTGAAAAGAACAAATGTGTTTATTGAAAACAACAGTGCCAGAAATTATTAATACTGTAAATTCTAGTAGGATGATGTTTGTCATTATCCCCCTCTGTATACTCAAACTGTGATACATTAATGCTTGACAAAGTAGCATTCTTGTCTGTGAGGAGTCTTCATTTGCATTGAAGTGAAGGCATGGAGAAATTCTTTGCAATGCTTCCAGCTCAGTGTTTGGTCAATATCAGGGCACTAATCAGATGCCCAGGTAATTGCTTCTTTTGGATCCAGAGACCATAAGCATACAAATGAATAAAGGGGCTTTAAGTTTTATTGTTTGCTCAGGCAAACAAGATTAAAAAACGAAACATAAAAAGCAAACATACCAAGCAAGATGATATCTAAATCTCTTACAAGCCACCAGAAGCTCCTTAATGATACCAGAGATTCTCTAAGGGCAGCCAGTTTCCACAGTCCCCAGTTTCTAACTTGTTGTCCCAACAACAACCACCTCAAGGTTTTTATTAAAACTTCGCTAATTTCCTGGCCCTGCCATCCGGAGGTCTGGAGATCACAAGACCTGACAGTTACTGGCTGGCAAAAATCTGGGATGAGAATTGAAAGTCTAAGACTTCCAGTGAAAAAACTTTGAAGCTACATCTTATTTATTCATAAAAATACAAGCAAGCTACCTCAAATGATTTTTCTTAATCTGAAGGAGAAATCAAAATGTTACTAAACTCACTCTTCTGCATTTTCACTACAGAAAATCATTACACATATCTTTGATATCTTCCTAGAAGATTGCTGATCAATAGCTTAATGGAATAAGACAGTGTTTCTTTATATTCTGGTTGGGAATTTTTGGGAGTTGGAGTTGCTAAATTGAGAAGCACTGGTGTAAGACAGAGACGTCTATAAAAAGGCTCTCTGTATCACCAGGGAAAGGAAGAAGAACCCCTGTTTGAAATTGAGGGACAACAGAGTTTGAGAAGCCAATAGTATGAATCAGTTAGAATTCATAATATGCTTAAGTAACGCTATGTTTTAAACATAGTTCATTGAACAAGCCATTGTGGTCTGAATATCACACATGAGCCAGAAATCATAGTTTGCAAGGTTATTCACCCTACTTAACCAAACCAAATAAACCACATGTATGGCTTTTGAGATAAGCCAGTATAAAGAAGCTCCCCATATCTTGCTCAGATTATAGTTCTCATGGAATGTCTACTTTTTAAGCAGGGTAAATATTGTGACAAACATCAAAACAATAGCTACCAAATTGTTGTTTCTGCACTATTGCAACTTGCATGAGTTATTGTGGTAGATTTTTTCCATAAATGCCAGTGGGAAGCTTGGCAACAGTGCTAGATTGTGGCCTGACCTCCCTAACACTGAGAGGTAAACGTGAGGCTTTGTCAATAGCCCTCATTCAAGGGGCATCAAATGTGATGATCACTGAAGCCTCAGACTTTCATCAAATTATATGGAGAGCTGCTAATCCCTGTTGTATATAGCTGTCCTGGCTGACCTTTTATTTTCTTTTTTAATTGCGATGATTATAATAAGTCTCTGATGAGAATGTGCTGTTGCTTCATACTGTTCCACCAACTATTATTTAGCACTATGCTCATTTCCTATGTTGGATGATCATACCTTCTAATTAAACTGCCTGAGATAATAGAGAAGGATGCTGG